GGTGGGGGAGCGTTAATTCTTTTATGGAGCAAAACTGCTTTTTCGTTCGAATTCGTTTGTATGCACAGACTCAGCTCTTCGGCGCTATGCCGGTGCCAGATGGCACTGGAACCGAAAATAAAGTCTAGAATCGTGATCAGGACTGTCGATTACCCCTAGGAGCAAGTTTTGAGCGAAAAATTTTTTTGACTTTTTCGGGTTGTAGGTGACCGACCATTTGGTCGGCAGTGTGAGCGGAGTCTCACATCTTCGTAACAGCCGAATGATGTTCGTTGAATGCCTAAACGGGCCCGGACAACCCAATAAGCAAACCCAAGAAGGTCAAAACAATTGTTTTGACCAAAAATTCGTTTTTAGTGGTAATCAGTGGCCCTGATCACAAATATATAATGTCCTATTCTTGGCGTCCACGCAGTTTGGACACCCAGTAATAGCGCTGACCACGCTTCCTATATTGCGTGGTGCACATAACGAATTCAGTGGAAAGAAGATGTGGCCCCAAATTGTCTATAATTGACACCACACCAGAAGTTACTAAATTCGCAATCAGATCCACTGTATAGCCTATGAGGATCAACGTCCAGCAACAATCTTGTTCAATGGTGCGTGAAAATCGAAATAGTTGAAATAGAACTGACTCATAAGGTAGCAGCTACCTCGGAATGCCCATAAATGGCAAATATCCGAGTTATATTCATGCGCAGACACTAATGGAAGCGAGAACAGCGAAACCTGAAAAATGCAAAAAGCCGCGACGCAAGGGAGATCGAACCATTAACCCAGACGACGTCACCCACTCACTGTGCGCCTGCGAAACCTCGCGCTCCTATCGCTAGGCCATCCGATGCTCGGTTGTGATATCGCGCTCTTATCGTTGATGAAACCATTGCAAGAAACCGTTCACCCTTGAACACGTGACCCAAGTTGGAAGCTCACTTGCGGCGATTTTTCGCTTGGATTCAGAAGAGGCCGGCACCCCCCACGTCAGCAACTTTGTCAGCAGTTGACAAGATGAACTCTAGCGCCGTATAGAGGCCAGAGCGAAGCAGATTCCAAAGATTTCTTTTCACTCGTTTTTTACCTTTCCTGGAAGCGCGCAGCGAAAATGAAGCACACTTTTCAGGCCCTTGCATGAGCCCCTACAATATGCAGAGAACACGTTTTCGAAAAGCGCCACTGCCCTTGGAACGAACCATCCCTTGTAACGAGAAGTAGAATAGTCTCTGGATTCGGGGTAGAGTTTTTTTTGCATTTCACGCCACGACCTGGATCTCGAATTACGGGGCTAATTTTACCTTCGCCAATCAGGCCTGCCATACAGCTGGGCCTAACTGGCTGACGGCAGGTCACTATATGCACGGAGGCCGTTCGTATTCTCAGTATCGGGTAGTTCAGCAGCGGCGAAGGATTTGAATCACTCGCAGTAGGCAGGACAGCCTACTCCAGAGGGTATAAATAACGAGCACATTTACTTAGTTAATCATTTCTTTACTCCATGGTGAAAGAAGACCAGAACGGCTGATGCGAAAATGTTGAGAAAATTATTACAGATTGAAAAGTATTGGGGAGAAGTGAAAAGCAGATTAAGAAAATGAAAGAAATTAAGAAACGATGGGTGATTGCTTTTGTTCGTCATCCTAAAAATTTTGTGGAAGATGAAGAGCTGAAAGCGGCAATTGACTCACATTTTGGGGACAAGGAGGAAAAATTTTTTTTAGAGGGTATTGAAAAGTTAGCTCCCGAGCGAACAAGAGTATCGAGGTTATGCCTCTTCCTTCAGAAAAGAAGGAAGAAGATTTTATTTTCATGCTAAAGCAAAGAATACAGTTTTGCAATAATTTTCTGTAATTTTTACGGCCTCGCGAGATGAGTACTCGCGTTGCGCAGTACTACCATAGTGCACTACCTCCCAAAACTTGCAGTGGAGCGGTAAATTTCGCTCTGAGTTGGTTTTGGCCCCACTTCTGCTGTTTACTTTGCAGGAGGTATCTACCACAGGGGATCGCGAAAGGTTAAATTTAATTATACGTTGGTTCAATAGAAGAATGGTGCTGGTATGTCCCTTACCTCTTCGGTGATGATGTTATCGACGATGTTGAGGTTGTCGGTCTCGGCGGCTTGATCCAGTTCCACTCTCATCTCGAGAGGAAGTCGTTCTATTATGCGTCGCATACAGCGGGGCTCATCTGCGTTGCATTCTGAACAAAAGAAATCGGTTATTGATTTCACGACCAGTATGCTATAGACAACGATATAGTTACCAATGTATTCCTTCTTTCCTGTCAACCAACTTCTTATCGCCGCCCATAACCGCGACCAAAATGACTGGCGGAAATGTTCATTCGATCGCCTGGAAAGCTGGGCAATTTGACTGAGCATGGATGAATACCAGAGACTTCCCCTCTTTCCCGATGACTCACCTTTCAGCAAAATATTCAAGTATAGCGAGTTGATCAATCGCCGGTAAAAGTGGATTCAGCTGTGAACTCCAGACACCGCGTATGGCGTTGTAAATAGAGGCATTCTGTAGCGGAAGTGTAGACAGATCCGGTACGGGCATATAAAAAGGGTGACTAAAGGTTTATTGCACGTTATGACTCACATGGTAGGCCTCGAGGAGATCTAGATACTTTTGATTGTTGACGACGGCGACGAACTCTGACAAATCGGTGTTGTTCTGCTCCAGTTCGGAAACCAGTTCACTAATGTCACTAACCTAAAATGTCACATCACTAGTGGTTGAGGTGTAACCCACTATTTCTTAAAGAAGGACCGGTGATTCAGTAGTTTCCAGTGAAAAGCGCGCGCACATGTCCATTGACCTTTTCAAAGTACCCCTAGAAGGATAGGTATGAAGCCTCCCTAGGGTATTCTCAATCCCCGGTAGAGTTTTCCCACAAGAGGAACTATCTCGAGGAATGGATGCCTGCTGAGGTTTGGCATCAGGGCATAAGCAGCTGTTGGAAAACATTTTCGCAAAATACGACCTCCTACTCCCCCCTCCCCCCCCCCCCCCCCCAAGAAGAACCCTCTCTGGCACGGACTCCTTTTCGATTCTTATCACTCTAAATTTTTTCAACAAAAACTTTCCTCGTTTTCTAAGAATAACTGGAAAACTGCCGCTAATGGGTGAGTCAGTCGAAAACATTCTTCTCGAAGGCAAAACCCCCCCCACCCCCTGCTCCCTCCAGGCGACTAAATACGATCTCCTCACTGGAGATTCCCGAGATACGATGTGCCCGTTTGACATACATTTGACTGCCTTTTGGAGGAATCTCGCTATTGTAACAGTGGCTAGCAGGGTGTAAAACGTGCGAGTGTGAAGGTATGCCCATTTAACTAACCAGTGAAAAATAAGAAATCGTCAGTATTCCCCAAATGAAACCCGGTTGATTCTCAACACTGGGCGAGCATGCAGCGAACAGAAACGGGCGCAGTTTGTCGACGGGGGGGGCATTCGGCTTTTCATAGATGTGCCGACCCATCTAGGTAGCCTTTTCTCGAGTTGACACGTTTTAGGATGGTGGCTAGACGATCTTACTCCAGCTTCACAGGCGTTCACAAGTTTTACCATGGTGAGAATCTGCAAACCAAGAACTAGGGAAGGCAAGTGTAGTACAAAATGCCCCCACGTCGCTAAACAGCGCCAGAAACGCAGAGACCCTTGCCAAGAGAGCAGGCAAGCGAGAGCTAGAGCGAGACACCGACGCACACTACACGGGCGAGAAAGTCAATGCGTAACTTCAGCGCCTGGTTCTACATCCATATCCAGAGGTTAGAGGGGGAGAGGTCCTGGGCTGCGTATCAATCGAAGGTAAAGGCAACTGCCCTTTAGAGAGATATTGCAATTCCAGAACTGTCGCAAACATGACTTTGCCACTACAAGATTGGATAGCACTTGGATCAGATCGAAATATCCCCACGAACCAATGCATTTGTTTCATGATCGAGTAAAAGTGAGCAGCACGCCCACGTCTAATCTCGCCGGATGTGGAGTGTACGTTCACGAAGAATTATCATAGAAGGTACGGGAGGGGTTCTGCCTTGCTGAGCCTCTATGACATTTGTTACGCATTTTCGAGTCTTGAAAGTGGTGCATCTAGATTAGTTGAGACCTGAGCTCCTTTTGCAAAGCCTCTCATCCCTCAGGTGGAACGTGTCTTTAAATGCTAAACGCTGAGCTTTGCCTTATTGGCTTAAATTCTCATGCGAAGACTTGAGTCTCCGATTTCGAGCAAATCCGATTCTCTTGGCTTATCCGTACCCACCCGCTTGTACTCCTTCAGAGCTTTAGGCGAGAAAAACAATGCAAATGAATGGCGGAGCATACCTTTTGTTTTTCGTCGATCATCCGCTTCAGCTCTGCATACGTGCGTTGTTTCATATACTTCTCCAAACTTTCGGTTTCGTTTTTCGGTAACGAAATCAATACCAGAAGCAGTGGAAAATAGTTATCGAATAGTTTATACTCGTAATCGTCGACCTCGGTGGCATTCGCCAATGCTTCAGCGATGCTGCCGGTGATGTTCTGCGAGAGAACACCATAGTCCAGCACTTCCAATGTCGGCGATGACATCAACAAGCACGGTAGGAGGAAAAAGTGAAGCTTCTCTATCATCTGAAAATAAGGTGTTTTTTTCTGACAGCTTTGAAACGGAGCGGAATTGAATAAGGGATCGAAAACCGACTGCGGAATATCTTGAAATGCTCAAAAACAAGAAATCCAATCATCGTCTGTGACCCAAAACTGGTTTTACGAGTGGCAAGCAGTGTTCGGAAATCGGAACCCCGCTCATTCAACCGTGAATCAAATAGGAGTGAAACTGGCAATCAACTGAACGTATGAGAATAGGGTGAACGCAGAAGCACTGACAATTCAGAACGGAGTGTTCGGACGCGCCATGCGATCGTCTACTACTCGAAATTGTCAAGGAAAGCAAATGTATTTCCAGCATGTTCAGGACAAAGTTGCAATGGATTATCGAAGTTAATTTCTTTGCTCATTTCAATTAACCTACCGCAGGGAAATGAAGGCCTGTTCAGTTGAGTGAGCCTAGGGTTAGCTATTGCGATAATTACTTGGTGAGCACTACTCCTAGAACCAAGACAGCAATGATCATCAACTGCAAGTGGCTTATTCAACTTGAGTTCTCGCCATGAAGGCAGCGATTTGCCCTTTAAGCCTACCACTCGTCTGGAAAATCTTTTAGAAACGAAAAACAACGACAAAAAAGACTGTGAGCGATGAATAATGGGGCGGTTTCCTGGCAACTAAAAGAACACTCAAGGGCACGGACTGACAAATATAGGTCTACCGAAAGGTAGCGACTACTGTGGTGTTTTTGAATTACTCATGGACGTTGTAATACAAGTAGTCATGCTAGGAACAGACTTCTGCACTAAGTTGCGGGGCGGATCTGATATGGTAACTGAAAAGTCCAGCTCTTCGGACTAGAATTAGGCGGAAATTGGAGAAAAATCTTTATATCAAATAGGACCCACAAGTGTGAGCCCGGTCCTCACCTTCCAGGCCCCAGAAAAGGCGGTTCTGTCCGATCTTTAGCCGCCTATCCACCTCGCGTCGGGCTCAAAGAACAACTATTTCAACTTCAGTAAGGACGTGCAAGAAGAAGGAGATGAGAGCTCAACCGATTGTGGCTTCTTAACTCATGCGCTAAATTGAAACGCCGCCTCTCGTAGCGACGCGCAGGCGGCGTCACTTAGCATACGCACCAAGGCGAAATCATAGCACCGCATCCGGTCCCTCAGTGCGCCTGCCCTCAACTTTCCCGCAATCAACCTACCATGCTACCTGTCCGGCAGGTCATCTAATTAATTACCATGATAAAAGTTCAAAAAACTGGTCCAGTAACGTGTATCGAGAGGTGGACAGTTCTCTAAATAAGTTGATAACATAAGCATGCATGTGGAGGAATTGGAGCGGAGGAGAAGAAGGGTTAATCATTAACAAATTAATAAATCTCTCATTAGGCAGTCGCCCTCCACCTTCATTATACGACAGTATGTCGCGTTGATGATTAAGAAGCTCTAGCTAACCAAACTGAACTTTTCATCCACCAAGAGAGTTGAGTCGGAGTTGAGATAGGACTCATAGCCTCAGATTACTCTATTGAATCTTTCCCCTCCAACAGGTCAAGGCGTGCGAAAAATCGTTTTGAACTTTTGCTGCATAGCTGATTAAACCCTAAAGGAGTATGGTTTGCTTATTGCTGTCATAGTTGACTGTCCGCGAACTTGCTGCATCGATTCGAATCCTGAGGCAGTACAAGACTCCTGCATAAGTGCGAAGCTTACTTTACTGTGAAATTGTGCTATCACATTAGTGGACCGTGACTACTTGACTTTCCTGGTTCTATTATTTGTTTCTGCCGCTACATTAGCGAAAACAGAGAAGTTAAAACCATCTGCTGTTACAGCATCGAAAAGAGCGAGAAAATATGTGTTAACTTCGAGGACTGCTTTTCCAGCTGGAGGGGGGAAGAGAGGGGACTGCGGGTGTGTGGTCCTATGGCATGTCAAAAGTTGTTCATACGTAATCACCAGTGATCAAAAGAAGCGTCATATGTAAGAGGAGTGCTGCAGGTGAGAGCAGAAAATTAAAACAATTAGAGAGACGAGTTTGAGCAGCGCATTTATCCCTTTATTGAATGAGACTGAATGAGTTACCGTGCTTATGGGGCGCAATCCATAGTCCCCCTGACTAGCTCAGTGAAAATGACGGCCACTTCTCTCATTAGTCTAGCTAAGTGCGGTTTTCCTACCCACTTTAGTTTTTACGGAATAAGCATCAATTTCCATAGCCATAGGCGCTAGTTCCTTTCTGATAAGGAAGAAAACGTGGCGTCAGGTACCAAAACCTGAGACAAGGGTGATTGGGCCGCGCCTGCTTTCAAGACGCAAAAAAACGTGGCTGTTGTAGAACAAATACGTCATTACGTTAATCTGGTGGGCGTTTCAATCAAGAAGACCTATTAGCCTAGCAAAAAAACGGCGAATAATGCCCTGAGAAATTCACGCAAAGTGTTGCGAGGAATGGTGTTCAGTTCGTTCATGCAGACGATGACTACGTAGCGGAAGAAAAACCGGGCCATGTTCCAAAACGAGGAGAATCATCGCACCACAAGCGTTCGCTTGTGCAGTTGCTGTGCGAGGTGGCGGAAAAACGGGGGGAGATTAAGCGTTGGACGCTGGAAGTCGCCAGCGCCAACAATTACGAGTTTCTCTAACAATATAATTGCTTTATGAAGGACTGCGCGAAAAAAGTGAACCCGTACGTGTGCAATTTTCGCCACGACCTCATCGGGCGTTTGTCTGACGGGAGCTCGTCAAACGTAATTGTGGCCCCGACACTCCGTTCTCTACCTGGCCATCACAAAATCGCTTGCATCAACGCCCTTAGATTGAGTCAGAATCAAAGAGCGGGTAAGAACTGTTTGAAAGAGGCAGACTCGCGTTAGGGCTTCTAGCTCTCAGAAGATTACCTGGAGAGGCTTTAGACCATCGCGTGCGCCAAGTGAATCAATACAGCATGCGAGGAGTTGCTATAGTAATCAGGCAGTCTAACGGCATTCACGAGTTTTTTCCCTTGTTATAATGGAACTGCGCTGAAAAGCCTCATGACTACAGCTCTAAGGGTGCTTCATGAGACCGCGGCATGTGAACTTGAAGAGCCCTTCATCGTTTCTAAAAAGATCCGCGAACCGAACAAGGCTTGAATAGATACGCCGACGATATTTGCGTGTCTAGTCATTAACCACTTCTGAGAAAACGAGTTTCATGTTCGTCCGATAGTAGCAAACAAGGTCAGCCCCATGATTCATGAGCGCAACTCGATATGAGTGAGATAAATCCGTTCTTCGAAGCCTGACGAGTCCACTAGCCTCCGGTCGAAGGTGTGAGCTGCGTCGATAAGGCAGCTTATGTTCGAGCAAAGCAGAATGATCGACCATTGACTGCCATGCCGGCTGCGGAGTATAATCGTTCCGGTTTTATGGGCATCATGCAGAGAGCGCTCGTGTGTGTGTATGTCACCCAATCGTGCATGGTGACGACGAGGCACGACGAATGGGTCGTTTGCCAAAAAAGGAATCCCGTTGCACCACAGATTGATGAAGAGGTGAAGAAAAAAGTCATGGTGAGCGACGAGTGCCACTCATGAATGAGGACGAGGACAATAAGGTGGATGCTACTGAAGTAGAACCGAAGTGAAATATTGTTCAAGAGGAAAATACGATCACTAAACTGAAGAGGAATGCTCTCAATTCTTTTCTTGGGTGTGGTAAACACATCCTCAAAGGCACGGTCCGCGATCACGTATAGAAGTCGAAAATGTGACGTCGGGAGGGTAGTGTTGTCCGCGACGGACAACCTCATACGTTTCGCGGCGAAAAATTGTAAGGGAGGGGGTTTATAGCGTAATATAGGTTCAGTGACGCCTCCTTTCTCCAGTGACTCCGCCTCCAGACTCCGCCCTCAAGGCCCGCCTTTCAGTGAAACCGAAGCTGCAGGACGAAAACATGGAAATTGTCACTTGTACGCTCGTCAGGAAATCAGCTCAGCGGATGAGGGGGTAGTGTTGGATATGGGGTCAAATGGGCACGTACAAACTGGGATAAAAATGGGTTTCTATAAAGGGCAGTTTGCATGGATTTTCTGCTTATTTCTTCATATTGAAATTCTCAGAATCTTGTCTTCTATATGCAAACCGTAATCCACCATCTGTGATGGCGAATGATCGCGGGTTTTGCTTCGTTTTTTGGTTTTGGGGGAAGGAGAGGACAGGCAAGGGTTACCGGTATACGTCAAAGGTAGTCTTTTGTTGTCATCAATAGCTGCACATGAGTAGACAACAGTATTTACTGTGGTGTAACTAGTACCCTCCTTTATAGCCCATGTTCATTAAAAGATCCCAGTGGTAATAAAAAAAGCCGGTTATCGTTCTCGTATAACAATTACTGTCGAACCACACCAACAAGGGAGCAGAAAACAC